ACCCTTGGAATTAACTGGGAAGAGCGCGGAACACGGAAACTGCATTGATAGACGCCCAAACGAGCACAGGAACTGCCTGCCGAGTGCGTGTGCCAGGCCTCACGTGCGGGCTTAGGCGGGGCAGCGCTTTGGTACACACCAACTAACTTAGTCCCCAAACACTGCAGCTCGCACAGGGAACCCCACTGTACAGAGGAAACTGCCTGGGAATTAGGGGGCTTCCCCAGATGGCACTGTTGTGACTGATCCAACCGGGAACTTCCAGGCTCCAAATCCTTCCCCATGCTACCTCCCAAAGCCCTTTATTCGGGGCATGGGAAATCACAGGGCCTCACGCGCAGAAGGGGGGATTTCTCCAACACTGCCCCGTCCACTGTGGCCTCCGTGGGACTCCCGGGGGAATGCCTGACCCCTCCCTTCCACAGCAGCTCCCTAAGGCATCACGGGGCCACTTCCGGTCCCCTGATTCTCCTATGCTATAGTGGACCGTCAAAATGGCACTTAGTTGCGTTCAGTTAGTGGTAACAGCGCTGCTGCGTCCTGCAGAGTCTAATCAGGTGCGTGGAGCAGCTGGTGGCCTCCAGCGTGGGACTGAAAGCGCCTGGAAGGACGTGGTGTCCTGTCGCCCCGCTCTGTCAGCTCCAGGTTTCCATCCTCCCCTGCGGGCCGGCTCCGTGTAACAGTCACTGACAGCTTAAGTACAAATAAAAACGCTTCCCTGGGTGTTGGGCTGGCAGGCTCTGCACGCTTCTGTGGCCAGGAATCCTGCCCGTCTGAGCCAGTTCAGTGACATCTGAGGACATGTTGGCAATCCAGCATGAGCCAGAGGGCCCAGACCGTGCCAGTGTGACCACTCTGGAGACAGAGGCGGTCTGTCACACACCCCGGGAGCTGGGTGTCGGTGTGCAACTCACTGCCATTCCCCCGAGGGCTGGCAACGGCGGACCCTGAAGGTCAGGGCAGAGCCACGGCTGCTGCAACCCCTTTCATACCCGCATTTGTCCCAGCCATGAACGGGATTGAACAAGGGGGTCAGGAACAGGGGGACACGGGCCCTGGCTGGTCGGTGAGAAAGCTGCAGGGAGCCCGAGTACAGGGACAGGACAGTCAGGCACTTGGGTATTGGGCGGAGGAAAACGCACTGAAAACGCAACAGCTGGTTTTCCAAAGAATGTTCTCAAAAAGCCAGCACGGATAAACACGCGTGTACACAACCCCACTGACACGCTCTCCTCGGCCATCAGAGAGCAGCCAACCTACCATGCACGAGTCCACCGTGCCGGACTCGTAGCCAGCACAGACCATGCGGTTGGTGATGGCCTTCATGTCGAAGTAGGACTGACACTGCTCCCGCGAGATCACGCGCACTTCTCCCTCTTGCAGCTTAAAGGGCACTGGATTAAAGACAGAAAAAGAAAATATGCAGGATGGCGATGAGACTCCGAAGTGAAAGGAGCAATGTCGTGTGAACATTTTACACCAAGAGCACCGTTGTTGTTAGTTGAAATGTCAGTGCCGAGACAAACTGGTTTGCAACCAGAATTTTCTAATTAGAAGTCTCCGTAGCGACCATCTGGAGAAGCCCCTCTGTTTTACCACGGAGGAAGCAGAGGCACAGGTGCTTAACTAGTGCTTTCCCCCTCTGGGTACACTCCACAGCAAAACGACAGCTCCTGCAAGGACACAAGGAGAAGGGGCAGAGCCAGGCCATGCTTTGCCCAGACAGGAGCTGCCAGCTCACTGTCACTCAGCACATGGGTCCTGCCCGGCTACAGAGGGCCTGAGACACCTGACGGAGCCGGGGCTGCCTGTGCCGAGTTTAAATGTGCTCGAGTGGCCACCGCTGGGAGGGAAGAGCCTTTCGATCTCGAGGGTATGACAGAGAGATGTCAGAAAAGGACAAAACCATCCCTTGGTGTTCGCAGAAAATATGTGAATTCTGTCTGCTTGAAAGTTCTTGCAAAATACCAGTGAAGCCAGACAGCATGGCTCTCTTGCCGTTCAGATGTCCTATAGAAGCAGACATGCCGCTCT